CCTTTGTCCCAATTATATCCCAAACTTTTTTTATCTCATAAAAAACCCCAAACTTTACTTTTGTCCCAAATCTACCCCCGTTTACTTTTCATCCAATTTTTTAATATTATTTTTTCGAATTTTTCTTTTCTTTTCTTTTCCTTTCTTTTTTCCTTTCCTTTTTTTTTTTTATCACCTTCAACCTCGGCCGGTCAGCCTTGAGTCCGGCGACCAGTGCAGGCTGGCTGCCAGCGAGGTCGGCCCGCGGCGCCGGGCGAGGCTCGGCCAGCCGGCGGTAGCCGGCGAGGTCGGCCTCGCCGTTGTTCGGGCGAGGAGAGCCCCGGCGGCCGTCGGCGAGTCGGGCGGCCGTTCGCAGACCGGGCGAGGCCAGGAGCCTCGCCGGCCGGCGAGGTCGACTCGGCCGCCAAGGTGGCAATGAGCTGGCTCGACCTCGCGAGTGCCGGCGGGCCTGGCTCGCCCGGATCCTGCGAGGCCAGGCCAGCCGGCACCGGGCGAGGTCGGCCTCGTCGTTGCGAGGATCGACCTCGGCAGGCCTCGGCCGGGTTTGAGCGGGTAGGGCCCGCCTCCTGAGTCCTGGCGAGGCTCGGCCTCTACGGCGAGGTGGCGAGGCTTGCCCGCCATTGGCCGTGGCGAGGTCGGCCTCGCCACAGAACGGCGAGGCTCCGGGCCGAGGCCGAACCTCGCGCCAGTTCCGGGCGAGGCCGAGCCTCGCCCGTTGCCGGCGGGCCCTGGCCTCGCTGATCTGGCGAGGCTAGGCCCCATTGTGGGGGCGAGTCGGCCTCGCTAGCCGTTGCGGCGCGGGGCCGACCTCGCCGGCGTGGCGAGGCTCGGCCTCGCCCGGCCATGAAGAACGTGCGAGGCCGACCTCGCCCGGTGCCGGGCGGGCGAGTGAGCCTCGCCCGGTAGCCGGCGGGCCGACCTCGCCGGCCAGCCTCTGGAGGTCGCTGGGACCGGCGACCGCCGAGGTTGAAGGTGATAAAAAAAAAAAAAAAAGAAAAGGAAAGGAAAAAGAAAAGAAAAGAAAAAAATTCAAAAAAATAAAAAATAATATTAAAAAATTAGACGAATATTAAACGGGGTAGATTTGGGATAAAAGTAAAAGTTTGGGGTTTTTTATGAGACAAAAAAAAGTTTGGGATATAATTGAGACAAAGATTAAAGTTGGGGGTTTTTTAGGGAATTTGGCCGAAAAGGGAAGCGAACTTGGAAACTTAAATCAGCATATGACAATGTTGACCTTTCCTTTTTCACAAAATTACAAGCTCCAAGACCAATATCATTAATGGAGGGTCAAATTTGTCTTTTAGGAAAATGACACAAATGGTCTCTAAACTTTAATTTAATGTACAATGTGATTCCTGAATTTTTAATTTGTTCAATGTAATATCTGAATTTTAACCTAATGTGTAATGTCGTCCTTGAACTTTTAATTTGTTCAATGTGGTCCTTTTGACTTTTGGTACATGTTCAATTTAGTTTATAGACTATATGAAAATATTTCATATTGTCCATAAACTTGAATTAATGGATGGAAAATATTGAACATTTTCATATGGTTCAAACAATACTTTGAATATGTACCAAAAGTCTAAGGACCATATTTAACAAATTAGAAGATCAGGTACCGTATTGCACATTGAGCTAAAGTTTAGGGACCATTGTGTCATTATCCCTTTGTCTTTTTTATTTTTGTGGTTGGTCGTGAGGGTCAAATTTGTTAATTCGGTCAGAACGATACTCTTTTCGAAATAAAATACTTTTCTAATCCCATCAATTTCATGGCCTTCACTTTCAAGCTTCAACCAATCCCAAACACCATCAAAGGACCAATGAAGACGATGTCCAATTGCACGCGAAATGACTCTACGCCAATGTTCCAAACAAGTGGGAAACCTAGGTGGCAAACGAAGATCATTTCATGAAATTCCTAAGTCAGTCTCACATATTTCGTCGAGTAGTTATTGATGTGATTGATCCATGGGAAAAGCATCCTGGAATTTGTGCTAGTTATCATAACGCAAATTTGACTAATCATCCGAAAATCACGCCCCGATAGAAGGACCTCTCGAGCTGTGAAAGATGGAGAACGTGCGAATCTAATTCTATCAATATCGCTAAGTACTAAGATACCAACAAACGATACGTGGAAGATTACAGATTTGGAGCGATGATTGCTTCGTATCAAATGACATGTCGCATCGGTGTGCAGTTAACGTGGGTTTAATATGCATGCGCATTCTTGTCACCTGACAATTTAAGTTTTCGAATTCGAAATTCGAAATCTTTTGACACGGTACCGGAGTTCGGGTACAGTCTTATCCGGAAGTGAATATGTCGAGTAGCTTTGTGACTACTGTTCCCCTTCTTGAAAAGGTAATGCAACAAAGGATTAGGTATCCGGAAATAAATGGGCCAAGATTGGATTCTGAAGCATCGTTCATGCCCTGCCATGGACGTACGATCAGTCCAACATGCAGGTTCAATCTCCATTAAAGAGAGAGGGGGATCCGAGGTGAAACGAAATCGAGCAAACAGCATTTATTGAATCTTTTGTCTTGGACGCCGGACAAAATCTAAAAACCCAGGGGGGAGATCCGAAATTTCGTTCCTTTGGATACGCAAAAATTGTGCAGATCTACAATGAATGGTTAAACGGTTTGATTTCTACTCGGTTGCGATAAATGCCGGATATTCTTAAATTATGGTCAAGATATTTTCGTGGGACGACGGAAATATCTGTCGTTCGTTCATTCAGTTTTTGCAAACGATACAAGTATGGCTTGCTATGGCTTTAAGTCGCAACCGAAAGGGACCAGTGAGATCTCGATTGGATTGGTTGGAAAGAGATGATCACGAATCACGACGACGTGCGAAGCCCTTTTATCATCTCGCTTGCCTCCTGTTCATGCATGGAAATCCATAAAAATAAGTGGCGCTGATGTCCTAACTTACATGAACTAAGCGCAAGCTCGGTGATGAAAATTCGATCCGACCTCTTTATTATAAAAATCTATGTCGCCCCGCCCTTGTTAGGACAATCGAAGCCCGCAATTCGCGGAGCTTTTGTGCTGCGTGGGGCCACGTACACCGATCTAATAGGGCCAAAATCTAATCCATATAAGACAAGTCTTACAAAAGACGAACCGCGCGTGCCTATCTTTCTTATGCGTATATTCAATGGTAATTTCTCCTTAAATTCTAGAAGTAATCGAATGATGATCAGTGTGAAACGAGAGGGGGAAAATCCGCAATGCCCAATTTAATTTTACTAAAGTTGGAAGCCCTGCCTCGTTAAAACAGAGCGCACGGGGGCTGGTTTCGTTTGGCCAACAATTTCAACCGAAACATGGGCCGTTAGACTTTTTTGGACCGGGCCTACATTGACAATTGAGCCGACTTTTGCACCTTCGGCTCTTCCGTTGATGCCATCCGAAGGAAGTAGAAAACTCGACGTTCACGCCGGACTAAACTTGGAAGAAGATCTGCAGTTTCAATGAGGAGCGGGTCTCGATTCTCTCCGCGTTTCTCGCGGGTTTCGAATGCCGGTCCGCCGTGATCTTCTTGCGGCGACACGATCAAGTTAGCAGAGTTGGAATCATCCGATATGGAGGGTTCGAGTGAAGGAGGAGGAGGAAGGAAAGCTGTTGCGTTGATTCGGCGATGCACCGATGACCGCGTCCCCGCCCATGTCTCTAGGGAGGGAGACCGATGCACGTGCTCTTTGGGTGAAGTCGGAGGAGACGTTTGAGCCGAAACCGGGTCTGCATAAGCTTTGCCGTGTCACCGTGCTGATTCAAACACAAAGTTTGCGTGCGTGGGAATGTGTTGTATGTCGTAAGATAGCTATTTGAACGTTTGCTCCGGTTAAACGACGACAACGGCTTGCCGCTCGGACGCTGGCTCGTTGCGATCTCCGTCTGGAGATGAATTCCGAATCACTTCTCACGCCATGCCCCGAGCAGCGCACAAGGGGGCATGAAACAAAAAGGAAAAGGGAAGAAAGTTGCAGTTACACGAAGAAACAAAAAACAATTCACCAAAAAAAGAGAGACAGATGCACCAGCCGGGAATCGAACCCGGGTCTGTACCGTGGCAGGGTACTATTCTACCACTAGACCACTGGTGCTTGTTGTATTTGGAGCTTCACAATTTGAGATTATCTCTGACACTAACTTTGTCTTTGGCCTCCTCCATGCTAATGAATTATTTTTTTGGTTAATACTTAGCTTTCATCCTATTTCATGCAAGTGGAAGATTGTAGTTTTTACAATTCCCCCCCGAAAAAGATCGCTTCAAGGCTTTCGCCGCCTCTTCATGTCCGTTAAGTGAAAATAGAAATCGAGAAATCTAAAAGTAAGTGTAAGTATAGTTGATGGGAATCTGATTAAAAAAAAAAAACATCATTCTATAGCACGTACAACAAAAATTGGAAAATTTTACAAGATCATTGTTCGAAATGTATTTGGTTGACAAGTAAAACTTAGCAAATCTTATTCTTAATGAAGCTAGAAAGAGAGTGATATGCAAACATCGCAATTTCCTCCGGTTCGTTCACCCTAGGTAGCCACTTGTTCGAGCTTCTCGTCCCGGACAATGCAAAGATCTCGACATCATAGCCCTTCTTCGTTTCTAGTTGATTAAGATATTTCGAATGGAGCCGAATTCCATCTCTCTCGATGAATCGTAATGTCACTCGTCGGGGCCATATGTATGGCGACGGTGATACCTTAGAGCTAGTTTTTTCTGGGTGTTTTGGATGTTGTTCATACATTTATATCAAAAGCATATGGCCATTTTATTCCTCTCGCAGCTATATTGAACTCCTTGTTAATACTTGGTTTTGCAATCTTTGTTGTTTGGCTCGGAAGCCTTATTGCGGGCTTTCGGGCCTGGACCCGAAACCCGCGAAACTATCCGGATGCCCCGCCCCATTTGCCGCTTTCATTTCTTATTAATAGATGAAACTTCTTCTCTTTTCCCTCCAAAAAAACATACAGAATTCCTCAACTTCGCCTCCAAATTCTGCTGCATCTCTTTCCCCTTCGATCTCTCCTCAAGCAACGTCTCCATTCACGTCTCTGGTCTCTTCAACATGCACAAATCTGCAGGTACCTCTCTCTCTCTCTCTCTCTCTCTCTCTCTCTCTCTCTCTCTCTCTCTCTCTCTCTCTCTCTACTTTCAAGAAAAGACTAACCCTAATCCTTGCCATGCAATTCTGCTTCTGATCTTTTCATCTTTTCGCATGCGCAGCCAACCCTTTCAAGAAAACCCGCCGCTTCGCCGACTTCCACGCGGAGTGGTCCAACGCCCTCGAGAGCACCCTCCTCCCGCTCCTCCGGGAGTCTTTGTCCTCCTACTCTTCATCCACCTTGACCCAGTTATCTGCCGCCGTCCACGCCCTCCACTGCCACCTCCAGTCCTACTACTCCGCCCTCAACCTTGCCACGTCCTCCTCCTCCTCCAACCAGCTCCCTCAGCTGCTCTACCCTCCGTGGCGCAACTCCCTCGAGAGGCCCTTCCTCTTCCTCGGCGACCTCCACCCTTACATCTTCACCACCCTCCTCCGCTCGCTCCTTGAAAATGACGACGACGATAGCGACGATGAAAGCGCTGGTGTAGCTCTTGAAGATAATTGCAACCGGTTCTTGGGCAGGCCGTGGCAGGTATTGACGGCGTGGAAGAACCCTAGCATATACACGATATCCCAGATCGAGCAGATCGAGTGCGGGGTCCGGTTGATGGTGCCGGAACTGGGGGAACGGGCCAAGGCTGAGCGGGCCCGCTTCGTGGACCGAGTGGCTGAGCAGTGGATGAGAGCGTCCAGCGAAAAGAAGAAGGAAACGACGGCGTCGTTAGGGAAGGCAGCGGCGGCGGCGATACAGGGTTTGGCGGGCGTTTTCTTGGATGCCAACAGGCTGAGGAAGAGCGTGCTCGCGGATATAATGAGCGCAACCACTGTGTACCAGGCGGGTCTGTTTCTTGAAGCTTTGGCCCAATTTCTTGTTGGGTTGAGAGACCGCGAATTGTTGGAGAAGTTCCAGCATTGCCCGGTGGAGATACGTTGATGAGGATTTTCATGATTTGGGGTTTATTTAAATCTTGATTTTCTTTTGGAGAATTCGGAGCGGGACTATTTTCTTTCTGTATGGGGACTTCGTCATTGCGAAATGATGGGAATGAGAATGTGAGAGGTATGTCATCATCTAACCCTATCGTTGAATTAACTTTCATTTCATTGTCCTCGCCCCCAAAGAAAACATTCATTTCCTTCATCTTGCGATGAGACCTTATTAAATGGTAATTTTGGGAGGAAGGGTAGATCAACCTTAAAATCTATTATAGTTGATAAAAACTATAGTAGCAATTAATACATACAGAAGATAAAGGATAGCCGTCTGCGATGTAATCTTGAAGTTCTTCCAAATGGTTGCTATACACGCTAATCAACTCAGCAACTTTCATTTTTTTGTGTGTGTCGATGGCAGGGAAGAGAAGGCTAACTATGATGCCATGATCGAGTGTTCGTTGCAGCAGACACTTTGAACCTTTTTGACGGAGGCCTTAAATTGCCAGTTAATTTGGTGCGAGCTTGCAATTTCCCCCTGAATCAACTTGAAATTCGTAGTGACTTGTGTTTGTGATCTTGCTTTTCCATTTCTTTCGTGGGAAGTGTTTGCCTCCTATAAGTTTAGGAAGGGACTGATGCAATGTAAATGCCTAGTTTTTGCTTCGCAATGTTTGATCAGGTCAATGAACGAGTGCATTTCCTGGGTTTGATTGGTCTTTTCCTTTTTGTCCCTCTCTTTGTTGCTGAGAGATGGACAATTAAGCAAAACAATACAGAAAGAGCCCAAGCCATGGCACATATCGGTTGGGCCCAAACCCAATAGCGATTAAGCATCATTCGAAGATACTGAGAAATGAAATGAAACATCAGGAGAAGACTGAACAGTTATATCTTTATATTACACAGCTGTTTCTAGCAAATAAGGAGCTTCAAGTAATATCCAACAAGATTGTCGGACCACGTGGTTTCATGTATTTTAGGGTGCCGATTGAACAGAACTTGATGGATCGATCGGAAAGTGAACGAAATGTATCCGTTGAAGCCAATGAGACTGACGAAATATATGGGAACTTATGTCAACTTGGAGTTTAAAATCCCTTCAACAATATCCTCCTTATCCACAAGGATGATTACTAATTACACGAACATGCAAATGTAGATCCGTGACGCGGTTAGTACACTCAATGTATAGTGCACAATAAACAAGAATAACACAGCGCCAGACAGACCAAAAAAGGAAAGAGTTTGAATCTGAAACTCCAGCTCATTTTTGGCAACTACGATGAGACATATTCTAATTAATGCAGGAATCAGCCACCTGAACAGATTGCTGAATTCCTGAACGGTCTCGACCAACGACACAGATGACAACAGTTAATCGTACAATAGTCTGCCAGAGCTTGGAGTTGGACTGACGCAGAGAAGGGACTGATTAAAATCGTCAAGCTGTTCAATTTGGAGTTTATTAGCGTGCACAAGCTAGACCCGTTGTCTCGGTACCTGATCTCCCCTGAATCAGATTCTGCTTTATCCAAAACATTGACAGATTTAAGGCAAGAAAGCAAGTTATAAAAAGAAATCTCTGACAGATTCGAGCATACAAAGACGACTGAAGCTGTGGAGATTCCTCGAGTCTTGAGCATGATTCCCAGAAATAGCACCTGCTTAGTCCCCACCTTCCCCCAAATATGGCAGTATGTGTACCAAAAAGCTAGGCTTTTATTATAATTCCAACTATAGTAAAGTCAAAGATTGCGTAGATTTTCTCTAATCTTGATACTTGGCAACGGTTTTCAAGGCCATGTGCTTCTCAGGCCCAATGAGATGGGACAAATAGCCAACATCTTTTAATAGGATGTGGTACTTATAAATCATCCTAACGATAACTATAGTAATTTTACTGTGAATGAAATTTTTATTTGATTAAGGAATTTGCACAAGCGGCTTTATCCACCCTTTATTTGAGAATGGTAACTACCACACTCTCAAATCAACGATGGATAGGGCCGCTTGTGTTGATTTTGTTTTATTCTAGAGATGTATGCATTTATATTGCATAAAGAGAAATATTGCTAGTTCAAAAGTAACGGCTTCCATAAGCTTCCACTAAACTATGCCTAACACCCACTACTTTCTAAATCGATGCACTTTGTGGAAGCTATTACCTGCGCAGTAGCTATTGTAGTGCCTTGAAAACGCGCGTAGCGCGTGTTGGTGCTAGTTATTAGTTCACGGAAATATCAATTGAAGTAGTTAGCAAGTGAAACGTCCACAGAGGGGGCTCTCTCAGTCTCTCTCGAGTCTTGACTTTATGGGTAACTGAGAAGGCATGTGATCCATTTGCTGTAATGAACTACAAAGAAAAGCCCGTAGATGTAGCCAGAACACCCGAAGCATGAGACTTGGACAACATAAATGGATCGTAATCGCGCACGCACGATACAAGATTGTATGCACTTGAACATGCAAGTTGTCCTGGTCATTAATTATCTCAACTGCATTGAGTATTCTCGAGATGTTGTTCTTGATGCTCGATCCACATGTGGCCTCTATTATCAACTTCTTGTCATCCACGATCTCTCTCTCTGTCTCTCTGTCTCTGTCTCTCTCTCTCGACACACAACACACACACATACATAAACACGAGCTAAGTAGATTTCGATATATATGTCATATGACAGAAGCTGTCCCCATTGTTTGTTCGAAGCAAATAGTCATGAGATGGTATTTTTAATTCTTGGACTTCTTAGCTACAGTGTGCATTGACGTCCATTTGATCTGTGTATCTGATTAGCTGAGCCCATAGACTAAAGTGAAAACGAAGGCATACTCGTTTGCACATGATTGAGGTCTTCGTGGTGGTGATGATGAAGGCACACTGGCTTGCACATAATTTGAGGTCGCTTGTAAACGAAAATGATCGCTCGAGGACATTGAATGGGCCGTACTAAGTTCATATCTTCGAGATATCGAGCATGAAGAGCGACTAAGTAAAAAACGAGCAAAGGGAAATAGAACAAAAATTAAGACAAAACTAAACGTGGAAGGACTATCTTTCTGAGTTTCCCGAGTATCTTAATCTTAGATTACAGGTTGTCGAGCAACGGTCGAGAACCAAACTACAGTGATAAGAGAATAAAAGAGATTTCACGAGAACGATGAGATGGAACAATAATTCTAACATGATAATCTGAAGATGGTATGAAAAGTTGGAGGTTCCAAGTCAAGTCTTTATATTACCCTTTGCTCGTTATTGAATCCCATTTTCTATACTTATGATAAGGTACTTAATATCGCTTATCTTAAGCTTTCCTCGTTCTATAAGTTTTCTCATAAACGGGAGTTGGTAACTATAAAAATATACAGTGTAACTTTCTAATCATTTATGATTTGTTTGACGTGACTTTTACTTTTTAACTTTTGACATTTTATAAATCTCACGACCTCACGCCCTTTGACTCTTTCCAATTTTGAAGCAGCCGAAGCTTTCATGATAGGTTATTATAGGCACATAGGTTTACCTAAAATTTTTCATGCCTTTTTTAGAAATTTGAATAATGTTTCGAATTTTAGTGGGAAAGTAAGACGTTTCTTTTGACTTTTAATAAGTCTAGACTCTTTGAATAACCGATGGCACGTTCTGACTTACAAATATCAAATGAGCAATGCCTAATGCGCTCGTGCTCGATCGAGAGAGCAAAGCTATCATTATTTTCCACATACTAAGTAGCCCATGTGATTACAAAGCTGGACATTGACCTAATGAACGTGGTGGTTGCCCCATTGGACTCTCAAGCGATTACACTAGGATACACGTGGAGCTTAAATTTCGTCCATAAACTAGGTGCTAGATTCTTGCCCTCGTAATCAAAACCTAATTCCCCTATATATATTGCCAATGCTAGTATCGAAACATTATTGGCGGTAGATGCAATTCGACAGAGAACCATCTTTCATTGACTCGTATTATTTTGTCATTTGAATCGCTTGAGCATATGACAAAGTAGTAGAATGACCGACACGATCGGGGAACAAGGACTTTCTTTATCTTATGAATTGAATATATGTATTATATATATGTTTTCGTGCTTATGAATATCTGTGTAGGGTCCTCCGCACAACTCTTCCGTATTCATGATGTTGTTGTGACATTACAAACAACGAGCTACCTAACAGCCTATAGAAAGAAATAAAGATAGTTAGGCTAGACAGGATGTCGAAAAGGTAAGGCTGTACATGAAAGCAATGAAAACCAAACGATAGGTGGGTGATTTTGACTTGTCTTAAGATATTAGTGAAGCCATCGATATGACTTGGCTCGAAAATTGTGACATTTGGTTAAGATATGAGGTGCAGAGGGATCGGATAGGGATGCGAAACTAGAGAATGTATGACATGAGACTCGATCGTGTATAGTGTCTTGGGTTTGCATTTAGGGTTAATAGCTAATGCACATTGGTTGGCCGCCATTGATATGTTACTGCACTTACAGGATAGGTTTAGCCGCAGCCCCCAACACTTGAGAAAACAACTATAGGTGACGAAACACGACATCCATAATGACAACAGAAATTTATTAGACTCATTCTATGTAGACCAACACCGTTATGGCCATGACCATTTAATGTGTGGGCCCCATAACAAGACCCGCAGGATCAATGGCTACGATGAGAAACCAGGGCGTTATGTTCCATTCAATGTCTAATGATTATAAAGAGATGTTTTAATCGTGGTCATGAATCGAGAAATGGGTTTATGTCTGTCTTCGTGACATTGACAAAGGAGGATTGTGCTCATCCAATCCTAACTTATAGAAAACATTTCTCCATTTTTAAAAAAAATATAACTATAGGAAACATCTGAAGAAGTAACTTTTATTCATAGGTCGAGCCTTTCTCGTATGGAATTGGGAATCGAAGATGTGCTAAGAACTACGGAAAGAGGCCGTGCATACGTATTGAATTGACTTAGCGGCCAAGCATATCTCGCGATGTCATTGATGACGATTGAGTGAACATACGTCACCGTTCAACTAATTGCTCACCTTCTCAAGTCTCCTTTATATACAAACTTGGCTTGATCTCTTGGGGAAAGGTAAATTTGCAAGTTAAACGAAGCAAGTTTGTCCTCCTAAAGAATTGGATTTGCATTCTATGTTAATTGATCGATGATTGAAAGATGTTTGGGTATTCGATTTCGACGACAATAGGATTGCTGTCTGTTTGTTATATCATTGGAATTTGAATCGCTTTGTTGTGCCGTAGTTGTGACTGAAGCAGCAGCTGCTGTAATATCAAATTAGTGCTTCGTTCGAAGGCGCACATATTTTTCTTTAGTAAAGCAAATATCTTTCTATCGAAGCGCTAGAAAGTAGTCGCCCATTCCAAATTCTAATATTCTTGTATAGATGCTTTAGTTTCTATAGTATTGTCTCTGTAATGTTATTCTTTTATCTTTTCTTTTGGCTCGCTCTCCGTTTTATCGCAAATTTTGTTTGCATCAATTTTTGTTAGGATAAATCATCAGAGCATTCAAAATGCGGGATACTTCATTTCCTTACGAACACGAT